GATCGTGTGAGTGCGAATGAGAATGAGAGTGTGAATGCGAATGTGAATGGCCATGATCGTGACTGTGGTCGTGGCCATGGTTGTGATTGTGCGAATGCGAATGCGAGTTCGAATGGTCGTGTTCGTGGTGATCATGGGGCTCATCGTGCTTGTGTCCGTCGCAAGCGTGTTCCTTCGCATGGGCCTCGCCATGCGCGGCTCCTTCATCTTCAAGCCAGAACTTGGGCACCGCATAACCCACCACGCCTCTTAGTGTACCCAGCTCTCCTAATGCGTTCCTGATGCCATACTCGACGTCACTTGGTAGACTGAGCATAAGTCTTGCTCCACTAGATTTGACAAGAGGAATGGCCGAGAGAAAGATCAAGATGGCAATAATGCACGACGCAATAGGATCCCATCCAGACCAGCCGTAGTACTTAGTCAGAAGCGTAGAGATGATGACAGCTACGGAGCCGAGAGCATCGGCGAGGATGTGAAGGAAGATTCCTTGCATGTTTTCGTTGTCGTGAGAATGTCCATGTCCATGTCCATGGTCGTGGCCGTGATCGTGCCCATGATCATGTCCATGACCGTGATGAGCATGTCCAAAAGCCGTGAGACCAACTATGTTAACCAAGAATCCTAATATACTAACAATTAGCAGTTCGTTCAAACGCTGAAGTTCGTGGCCTTCCCAGAGGCGCTCAAAAGCATCAAAAATGATTTCTACGCTGACAAGTCTGTACAAGTTAGCCCGAGCTGCTGTGGGATCAAACAATCACTTACAAGAGAAAAACGCCATTTGCAAACCCAGACAGCGTGTCAATCTTGCCATAGCCGTAGGGGAAACGTGCGTTTGGACGCCACTTGCTCATGACTGCAGCGGCAAGACCTACGCCAAGACCAGCACAATCAAAGAGCATGTGAATACTGTCTGTGAGCAAGCCCAGCGAGCCGCTGACAAAGCCGTAGAAGAATTGGACCATCATAAAGGCTAGGTTCAGTCTATTCCATGTCAGAAAAATGTATCTATGGTCACCGATGATGTTAAGGATGAAACTTACACGCCAAAGTATGCAATGCGCCGTGAATCCCTTTCGATCAAAATACTATGTATAATGGATCCAGGGGTAGAGCGTGCAATCAAAAATGCGGAAATTCTCGAGTGATTTCCGTGGAGACGATGGTCATGTTTATGGCCATGATCATGTGCATGTGCATGGTCGTGGAAATGTGGTACTGGGGAGCGTGTGTCAAAAGCGACGGCTGCAATAAGTATTGCAGACACAAAAGGGAGTGAAATGTTCAGACGGCCACCATATTCCAAAAAGCTAGAAGCAAAAACAAGAATAGCGCTCAGCCGTAGTCCGACTTGCTTCTGACTCCGCAATGATGCTGGAAGAGAAAAGTAGACAAGCGCCGTCGCTGATGCAATTGAGAGGGCCGAAAAGCCAATGGTATGTTGAGACAGAGAAAAAGTTCCAGAAGGAGCAATAAAAGAGTATACAACGGCAATGACGAGGAGAACAAGACCCGCGGCAAGTGTCAAAAGTTGGTTTTCGGAGGTGTTGATTAGTGGGGACGAAGGCTTTGGCAGCGAGGCGCGAAGAGGCCGTTGGCTCGTGAATGAATCCTGGTTCTGTGGGTTGGTCATGAGTGACCAGGCCGTGGTTGGTAGAGGTGGGGGAACCCAGAAAATCGAAGCCAAAAGGGCTGTATAGCCGATCAGAAGGCTTGAGGTGCTTTCAGAAGTCATGACGTCTGCGACCATAGCCAGGAAAAGCGCACCGCAAGTCATCTTGCGCGTCCTCAGCGTCCGCCGGGCATCGTCCCAGAGTGTGTGATTGCCTGGCTTTTGATCCAACGCTCCAATTCCCGCTGCTACTGCGATGAGCAAGATGAGGGCGGTTTTTGCGCCGCCAATCTGCAAGGAGGCGTAGAAAGGCAAGAGCATGCTCAAAGCATTGCTGGCAATGCTCTTAGGTGCATTGGCAGCCTTTGGGGTGATTTTGTCTTCCTTCCGTCTATCCAACGGCTGCAACGTGGAGCTGACTTTGGCTGCCATACCTACTAACAATAGTGTTGCCGAAGAAAGGGTGAGGGCGTGCAACAGCGGCGCCCCGGGTAAGGCTTCGGTGGATTCTATCGCAGGCATGCTTTCTGCCATGGCTTCTGACAGCGACGACGGCGGTTTCAGTGAGGACTGAGCATTGTCTGGGTATGCCAAGGCGGCGAAGAGGTATGGGAGGGGAATCAGGAGGGCAGTGAGTGCCTCAGGGAGTTGCAGCCATGATCTGTAATACGCATTAGTTGAGCTATGTTAAGGCATGTTGGAACAATGCTTACGAGGGCGTTGAAGGCAACGGCGCATAGGGAGGCGTCTCGTGGATGGGCGACACTGACGAGAAACCATATGTGGTAAGGGGAGTCTTTGACGGAGGGCGCCCAAGGTCAGACTCTCCTCGTGGCCTGCCTGTGGACCTGCCCATGGCGGGATTGAGGAAGGGCTTCAGGGTATATGTAGAGTCGTTCGAGGTCGATCTCGCATGGGCGTGCTTGTGTTCATGGGCATGGTCGTGGGCGTGAGAGTGGGCGTGGCCGTTGTACTCAGCATACTGGGAGCGCACTGCGCCATATAGTTGGCCATTGGTGTTCGCCTCGGACCGGTTGTGTCGGTGGCCGTGCTTTCTGACGGGAGATGCGCCGTTGATGGGGCTGGCCGTATACGACGAAGACTCGGGCGTGTACTGTGACGACGAGCGTCCATGGCTGTGCGTGTGGGAGCGCGGAGTGACGGGCAGGGCATATGTCGACGCCATGTGCTGCAAGGATAGGATTTGTCGTGGCTCGCAGTCAAGCAGCCCACCAAAACGAGGGGCGCCAACTGGCGGTGGTGAAACGAGGCTCGGTCGCGTCGCTACGCGGATGGCGGACTAGCCAGAGGAACAGCGTACGGGGAGCAGAGAGGAGGGCAATTCGATATATCCACGACGGCTGAATATTGGACGGCCGTCTTTTCTGTATGTTGCATGTCTTGTCAGGGGTGTCTCTTACATAACTTATCCAGATTCCTAGCAACACTTATCGTCCTTAGCCGCCTTCCCGTTTTGGTTCCGTCCACCCCCGGTCCCCAGCTCTCCGCAGCGGCAGGCACACTGCACAGGCACAGGTGGGCACCGCCACTCCGATCCTTGGCATCATTTACGCATGTGGCGCCTTCTCTCCTGCATGAGCATGTGCATCGCAATTGGCCAACGCTATCTCAACCCCCCTCCATCATCACCATGCTCGACGACACGCTAGAAGCAGCGGCAGACAAGTACGCTACCCTCTTCTCCCTCGTGCTCACTGTCGTTGTCGTCCTGTCCACACTCTTTACTCTCTTGCTACTCACGCTACCCGGCCAATATGATCCTTACAAGGACAAGTCGCTAAAGTTCGTCGACGAGCATGGCAAAGAGATCAAAGCAACAACAAGAGATGGAAAGCAGCCCCCGCGATGGAAGAATGCGCGGTCCGTTCAGGTTGTCGTGTTGGGCGATATCGGACGATCCCCCCGCATGCAATACCATGCCCTGAGCCTTGCTAAACACGGCGCCCGAGTCACTCTGATCGGCTACCAAGGTGAATCATGTCCGCAAGTGCCCATACTGCCAGCAACTAACCGCATCCCAGAATCTGAAATACTTCCGGAGATAGTCTCCAACCCATTAATTGAAATCATCCCCCTTTCCCCAGCACCCGCTAGCCTGCGTTCAAGCAGCAAGCTTCTCTTCCCCATCTTGGCTCCTCTCAAAGTACTCTGGCAAATTTTCTCCTTATATACTGCACTAGGCTACCGCTCCCAGCCCGCAAGATGGACGCTTGTGCAAAATCCCCCTTCAATACCGACACTCGCAGTTGCGAGTTTGGTTTGCTTTCTAAGACGCACTGATCTGGTCATCGATTGGCATAACTTTGGCTACTCCATTCTGGCCATGAAACTTGGTGACTCTCACCCCCTCGTCAGAATATCGGAGAAGTATGAAAAAATATTTGCTAAGGCAGCTTCACACCACATCACCGTGACCGACGCAATGGCCCGCGTTCTCAAAGTCGACTATGGAGTTATTGCACAAGCCCTACATGACCGTCCAGCATCTGCATTTCAACCCATCGGGGCAGAGGAGCGCGCCAAATTCCTCAAGAGACTACCGGAAACGGCTCAGTTTGCAAAGGACCTGTCACCTAGCTCAAAGACCCCCTGGAAACTCATCATAAGTGCTACCTCCTGGACAGCCGATGAAGACTTTTCTATCCTCTTGTCAGCTCTCGTCGCCTACTCTGCCGAATGCACTTCAAAAACACATCTTCCCAGGATCCTAGCCATCATCACTGGAAAAGGGCCTCAAAGGGATCATTATCTTTCCAAAATCAACGAGCTGAATCAGCAGAAGAAGCTGCAGAATGTCATCATCAAGACGGCATGGCTTACCCATGCCGACTATGCTCTCCTTCTCGCCTCTGCTGATCTCGGTGTCTCGCTGCATACATCCTCCTCTGGCGTTGATCTTCCGATGAAAGTCGTCGACATGTTTGGCGCAGGATTGCCCGTCGTGGGCTGGGGGAAATTCGAGGCATGGCCCGAGCTAGTCAAGCAGGGCGTAAATGGCCTGGGATTCCAGAGCCCCGAGGAGCTTGCCCTGCATTTGGCTGCATTCTTTGGCAGCGATGGTACGTTAAGAGAAACACTAAAAGTAGGCGCTCTCAAAGAAAGCGAGCACAGATGGGATGATGAGTGGGATGGCGTAGGTGGAAAATTATTCAAGCTGATCTGAACTGCCGAGGGTCGACCATATCCGCAACATTAAATCCTTCAAAGCAACCATGATACCCAATGAAACCCTAGTCAATAACAAAAAAACTTCCAAATGCAAAACAATGCCAACTCACTCTCCAACACCCAACGCAGGATAATCTCTGCCCCCTCATTCTAACAACACTCTCTCATTGCACCAACCTACCACCCCCCCCCTTCCCTACAAAACCAACGGCCCATCCCACCTATGCGTAACCGTCGGATCTAACATCCAAATCGTCCTAGCCACAACCTCAGGATACCTCCCCAACCTCCTCAAATACCGCCTCCTCCCCCATGTGACAGCCTCCAACTCCCTCATCACCGTCTGTAAATTCTGAAACACGACCAGTATCTCGCTCGACACCCTCTGGCGCCTCAGTCTACTCGCCATATACCGTGTGGGACTGAGATAGCTGAAAGTTAGGGTGGCGAAGGGGGACCGCGGGAAGAAGAAGCGGTCGGAGATGATGTACGCGGTGTAGAGAATGCTGAGGTAGATGCGGACTGAGAGGCCCGAGTAAAGGGGGCAGGAGAGACTGGATTCGTAGTGCGACATTAGGGTTTCCATTTCTTCGACGGCGAGGAGGGAGGAGGGGGCTGGGGCTGAGATCGTGATGGCGGCGACTCGGTGGTGGATGAAGAGCGAGATGAGATCTTGGTGGAGCATCATGGTTTGCTGTTCGATGGGCGAGACTGGGTAAGGTGGGATTAATGGAGGGGTTGGCAGATTGCTTGATGAGTCGGAGTCGGAGTTGGAGTCGTAGTCGTAGGAGTCGGAGTCTTCTAGAAGGGCTTCGATACCTGCTAGGATGCTTGAGTTCATTTCATAGCCCTCTTCCGTATCTAATGTATCGGGGGCGCTACTCGGTATTGTTTCTTCCTCGGATTCGCGCGATTCATTGCTACTGCCTTGCGAGTCGCGTGTATCTCGAGTTGAATGGTGGCTGTCTACCCGGACTAGTAATCTTTGTGGCCAAATCGATGTCTCCTGTCTATCGAGGTTGGTAGTGGGTCGTGCATATGTATCTATTTCGTTTTCTGTGCTTTCCAGGTGACAGTGCTCAATGAGCCATTGATGCATATTCATTATCCTGGGTCTTTTTCCTTTAAATGCGTGAAGAATGCTGGCTCACGCGTGGCTGAGTAAGAAAACACTAGTAGCGAGTAGGATATATGCGATATGCAGTGGTGCTGTTGCTAAGAAAATAGAAATAACTGCGCTGGAACGATAGAAATTCGATCGGAGAACCTCGAGTTAGGCGATGTAGCTTTACTTCACGATAGATGCCGATACAAGGGTGTGTATCAATATCAGGAAGGTAAGAAGGAGTGACGTTACTACATATAATAGTCGTGTGTTAATCCCATCATCTCTCTTTACACGCACAAAATACCAATGCATCGCTTAGTATCTTTATTCATCCAAGGTTAACATCGCTCTTGCCGTGTGACCCATCTGCTTTCATGATCGTACCGTGGGACAGTCCAGAACGTTGCTTGTTCTGCTTTGTGGGTCACGTGTCGTGACATTTGAGAGCCAAAGGAATTTCGATATAGTTGCTCTGAACATGGTTCGGGGAGAGCGTGATGAGGTTTGGGGTTTTGGTTAGTCGAGTGGGTGAGTGGATGCATTTGAGGGTGGAGACATCTGGAATACATATCGAGCCAGTACTTTGACGGGCATTGCTAACACAAGGAGGGCCAAATGGTTGGGAGAGATGTTGGGATGAATCGAAACTTGGTATTGTGATTAATCAGAAATGTTTAAAATGTATTCTGTCCAGAGGGTTCTTGTAGGTGCACCTTGGAGAGCAAGTGATTTGAATATACACACCTGCCATTGGATGGTGAAGGTGAACAAATGACCCATGAGCCACAATACGCACAAGTTTAACGTACAAATATCATTGCTAAAGAGTAATCTGATAAGGATAATTTCCTGTGGAAACTACGATGGATACTCGTGTCCTGAGGCTACACTACTCAGCTCCGGCACTTGGAACAGATGATATCAGGAAGACGAAAAGTCAGCTGTTTTCCCACCCACAAACAGAGGATATCCTTGATTTTTATTGTTGATTCTGTATGGGGGAAGAAGCAACCCAGAAATCAAGAGTCACATTTCATCTGTCAGACTTACAGTGCGTCAGCACAGTTGTGTAAGCAGCCCAACTCCAAGCCCACCCAACCCGCACTACGCACATCGTTGACGCGACAGCTTACGACGTAGCCTATTCTCCAACTTTCGCCTGCAGCCACTCGCTCCCGTCCCGCACCGCCAGCCCGCGACAGTCCACTGCTAAAAAAAACTCCGGCCTTGGCCTTTCCCATCTTATTCCCGAGCCACACTTGACCGCCGTTTCTTGTATCCACACGGCAGTGTAAATCATAGCACGGCACATACTACACATGCACTAACTCTCCAGGTTTTTTTCATCTTGTCTTCTAGGGGACCTCGTGACACTAAGCCACACACATAACCTCTTTCTTACGCAAGTCCCAAGAGCTATTTTGTAAGACCAAGACAAAAAAAACAAGATTTATGATTTGCTCACGACTAGAAAAGACAACGGCGAGGTAGAGACAACCAGGTTTTTCCCGTCTTGACTAAGAAGTTCCAAGAAAGGCGAAGAAGAAAACTACGCGTACTCCGCTTTACACTCAAGCCTTTTTGGTGGGGTAAGCACAGCAGTAGAAAAAGTACCGCGACCCTGCTGCGACATGTCTGGGCAAACTGGCCGTCTTGTTAATCAACGTGTAGACTAGTTTCTGGGCTTGGGCTTGGGAGAAGAGGAGGAAGGGAGGCGCAAGGAATTGGGGCTGTGCAATCGGGGCCTTGGCAAAAAATGAAGGTTGTGACATCGCCATGGCTATTGGTGTTCGGCCAAACTGTCTTAGTAAAGATGTGAGCATTGGTGTCATGTTCGTATTTCATTCTAGTCAAGTAGTCTGTTATGTAAAACAGAAGAAAGAAAAGTAGCTGCCTCCTGTTTTCTTAAGCGCGAAAGCACGAATGTTACTAGCTCAGGATTAATAAATGCAGTAGTAAGAGGAAAGGGAAAGTACAGCGAAATAGAAATCTAGCGTGTGCATTATGTGAAGCAGGAAAGAACAGCAGTAAGTAAAGTAAAGTGTATAAAAAAAGGCGTGACGCACGACGGGAGTTTGATTGCATGGCCCTTGATGAAATCTTGCCGAACACTTCCATCTCCATCTCCCATCTCATCTCAGCCCTACAAGCCCGCTGGGCGCAAAGGGAAAAAAAAGCACCAAGAGTTTTTCTTAGAACTTACAATTCGCCAACCAATAAAATCTCGCGTAAATCATGCTTTACAAGAACTGTGGACGGACGAAAGAAAAAGAGAAAAAGTCACATGGGGCTGTCATACTTACATTGCACTGCCGCAAAGGAACGCGCGTAGCGTAGTAGGGCATCAGGGCGGGAAAGGACCGCCAGCGCAACAACTCAAAAACATTTCCAGGGTCCCAGACCAAAAGGCAGGAAAAAAAAGGAAAGGACCCAAAAAAGGACAGCAGCCGACTCACACCGTCTTGTTTTGCCTTTTTGCTTGGCTGACTCCATGTCAGGGCTTGGCGGGGAGTGTGTTTGAATTTCCCGCTCTCCGGGTGGGGACTTTTCTAAGCAGCGCCCCCCCCCTCTGTTCCAAGGAAAACATAGACAGGGAAGAAGAAGAGGTTGGGGGTGGAGCTTTCTTTGCTTGGCTCTTTCTACGATTTTCGTTTCTCCTTTTTTTTTGACGCCGTCGTTACACAATGTACATGTACGTGGCCATTGTCTTCTTCCTTTGCGCTTAGCATCTCTATCTTGATTAGCTAGAAGGGAAGGGGAAGGGGGGTGGAGGGGGATCGACAGCGCACAGTAAACAAGAAAACAAACACAAAAAAAATAAGGTGCATGTGGTGAAAGGCTGCAAAAAGTGTGTTTACGTCTGCGCGTGAGGCTGAGGGTAGTAAGCGGCGAAGCCGCAAGTGGTCTACCTGGGGGGGGGGGGAGATCAGCGGTATTCGAGTCTGTACAATACCCCATAGTAGAGCCGTGCCAAGCGGTCACAACGTCTTCCGCCCAGCGGATCTTGAAGGGATGCTGCTACACTGGATTGGCCGCCTCCGCCCAGTTGCGACGTCGTGAAGCCTGTGAAGCCACCCGCCGATCTTGTCGTTACCGACGACGGGCCGATGAGGAGCGGGGAGGGAGAGAGCAGGAGGGACTTGCTTTGCCATTGTGCCACTCGTCATCTGCGTCATGTCAGTGCGTTTTGCTTGGTACCTGGGGTGTGTGTGTGGTGGGTGGTAGGTGTCCGTGGGCGGAATGGGCTGCATGCTGCATAGTGTACCTTGTGGGACCGGCATCAATCATGCTCTGAAACGGGAAATTAAGCACGCGAGCAGTTGTTGGATGTTTCGTATATAACTAGTTGGATTCCAGCACGGAAAAATGGTTCCATCACACAGCAGCACAACACTCACAGACAATCAAAGTAGTCTCATACAGTACACACATATTCCTATTCTTCAGTACTTTGTCATTTGAAAGATACCCACATTAGCCATAATGCGTTACAACATCATCGCCATTGCTTTTGCCCTCTCCGCCGTTGGCCTCGCCGACAAACTCGAATTCGAGGATGTCCCACGCAATTGTATCGACATTTGCACACCCGTCGTCACTCTAACAACCGGATGTGACGACAGAGGTCCAAGTAAGTCTTTATCTCTTGAGCCACCTTGATCATGTGAACTGCCATACTAACCAGTATCTCAGACGACGACGACTTCGCTGAACTCCAATGCATCTGCAACGCCCAAAACGCAAACACCCAGATCCCCAACTGCGCTGACTGCATCTGGCGAAACGGCGGCAAATTCGACAATGGTACGTCTTTCCTTCTCTTCCTCTTCCTCCTCACACGTGACTAATGCTCTCCTTGTAGACGCTCAAGATCTTGTCCGTGACTGTGGCTTCACTGCAGTCAGCGGCGCGCCCGCAGGTCCTACACCAACTGGACCAAGGCCTGGAGGTCCCAGCTCAGGCACCACCCCAACAAACCCACCATCGAACAACAACCCCGGTGGTAACAATTCCAACGGTAATCCTCCCAACCCTCCCAACCCTCCCAGCCCTCCCAACCCCCCAAACCCCAACGGTAATCCCAACGGTAATCCCAATGGTAACCCCAATGGTAATCCCAACGGTAACCCCAATGGTATTCCTTATGGAAACCCCAACGGTAATCCCAATGGTGTCAACAACAATAGTCCTAACGGGAACAATCCAGGCAACAACAATAACGTCGGCACTGGCACTGGCACTCAAGGCACTGGTACTCAAGATGATGTCCAAGGCAATGCCCAGCCCGTTGGTAATTCCGCCAACTCGCCCACAGTCGCCTTAGCCGCGGCCTTTGCCGGTCTTGTTGGCTTTGCCGGTCTCTATTTGTGATTGGGGGGGTCCAGATAATCATGTGGTTGGGCATGGGGGACGGTAATCAGCATTTAACGGTCTTGGTTGGGTTGGAGCAGAATAAGGGAGTTATGCCTTTATTGATATCTCTTTGTCGCATGGCTTTTGCCCTTGCTATTGCATTTACGAATCAATGACACAACTATTATCACTTTTTTTTCAAGTATGACTTCTTCAATGCAGAAGTGTGATGACTGGTCGCTGATTGCAAAGTGAATTCTGAAATATGGCAAGGCAGTGAGCAGTGCGTCCAGAGCTCGGCTCGACACGGGAAGAACACTGAGCCGGCGGTAGGGTCAAGGTGTTTTCGGTAAGGCTGATTACGCCAGGCAACGACAAATATTGTTGCAGATGGTGAAGGTGCAGCAATGTGTAATGTGTTGCAGTTGCGAAACGCAGTCGCCCGGCAATGGCTGGGCGACGATGAAGATGGCAGTCCAAAGATCGTTTGCTTCCAAGACGATGTTCTCTTCATTTTCCAGTGGGCGTCATTGGGCGTGGTGAAGAGAGAAAGGCTCTCGAGCCTTTCCTTGACTTTGGTGCAACTCGCTCAAATTTCGCGTCTTCGGGTTTCAGCTCGCCCGTCAGCCATTGTCCCATGTGTGTTTGCCACCTCTTGAGGTCTTCTCCTTTAGTGGCTTCTCTGAGTCTTCGATGGCGCACCAATCTTTCTGCGACTTGCTTGAGAACGATCTTGGGGGGTTGGTATTCGGTTAAGTTTCCAGGGCTTGCAATAGTTATCCTGTCAAGGTACGCCCTGGTCACCGTCTCCATGATCGTAAGGGTTTTTCCTCCATTCACTACTTTCGTTTCGTTGGTTTGAGGGTTCGTCCATTTTCCTTTCACCCAGTGATCAAGCGGTAGCCCTTCAAGTCCTTTGTCGACATTCAGACGCTTGTACCATCGATGCTCTCCCTTGGCAATTGTACGCATCATCTTGTGTCGGTCTTCACCTTCGGTGTACTTGATCAAGAGATTCTTGAAAACTGCCAATTTTTCGCTCCACTTTTGCAGTGCCTTGACTTTGCCCAACGGTCCAGGCCAGGCGGTGGCGAAACCGTCATTGGATGTATCTGGCCGTCCGGTTCCGATTGAGAGTAAAAGGGCTGGTTCCTTGTCATCCCCCTTTAGTGAGGCGTGTTCACTGTAAGCAGCATATGAAGGGTTGTTTTCGCGAATTCCACCGTCTTTAAAATTCTTCTTCAAACCATTCGCAAACTCAGCTGTGAGCATCTCGAAGTAAAATGGTGCAGCTGAGGTTGCTCTTGTCACCTGCCAGATTTTCATCTTGTCAGCACCAGTATTGTATGGTGTAACCCATGCTGGAGCGATGTCGGGATCGTATTGGTGGTTATAAGAACGAAGGAGATAGGCTTCATCGATTTGACCAGAATGAATAGCCGTTAGACAGATGCTAGCAATTGTTAGCACAAAGGCAGGAGACTACAGGTAGGGAAGGAGGTTTTACTTACGATTGACAAATGCGCTCCACTGGCCTGAAATTGGTAGCTGGAGCACCGCTACCCCATGTGGTTGCACTTCGTAGAGAACCGACACCCGATGCTTCCATAGGGACTTGTTCTTGATCTTCCTCTGAGCGCCAAGGGTACCAGTCGTCTCCTGTGCATTTTCCATGCTCTTTGCAATATTGCTTTACGATATCTTGCACTGCCTTTTCGAGCGGTTTATGATCATACTTTGTAGCTAGGGGTAGAATGTTCCTCCTATGCCCAAAAAGTTCATTACCGACTTTACGATAGATCTCGAGGCATTGCGGCACAGTCATGCGCAACCTGGCAAGCATAACAGAGATGAGTCCACCAGTGCTTGTGCCATACATGTAGTCGAAGTAATGACATGGGAGTAGCTCGTCCTCTTTGAATTCGCGGCGTTCGGTGCCGGGGACTGGACCCTCTTCATCTTGTATTCGGCGCTCACATTCGGCGATCTCGTGCATTAACTGTTGTATGATAAGGAGGCTCGAATAGCCGCGTATACCCCCGCCATCTATGCAAAGAAACGTCAGCGTGGAGAAGACAAGCTTTGGGGAACTGCATGTCAGACTACGGATAGATGGCGCTAGTCGCTGACTGCACCACTATAAAGCTACTGCCAACTAAAAAAAACGAACAATCGGACAACATCAGAGTGTTGGACAGCTACAGGAATCGCCAAGTGGACACTATGCAGATAGGAGAGCTACAAGGCTATAACAAGATCCCACGTACCCAGCGTAAGTATAAGGTCCTCCCAGCAGTTTTCGGCGGTGACGTTCATCTTCCAGGTTTCTCCAGTCTTGTCGCCCTGAGTCGCAGTGGTGCCAGTTGTTCTTATGCTGAGCGGCCTCGAGGCCGGCTCTCGAGGCGGTTGCAACATGTTGAAGGCGCGTGGGTTCAACTAGTGCTGCGCGCGTGAATGGTGTGTAGTAGCGTTGAATGCTTCACAGGTAGATCTCTAGCCTTGCGTGATTATTTCGGCGGGTAACGGTGCTAGGTGGTGCGAGGGGGAAGACCGATATTGAAGTGGATATAAGGCCTTAGGGAGCCTCATGACATTCTCGCGCGTTCCCGCGAAGGGCGCGGGCAGGGTGCAGGTGGAAGGGTGGGCTGCGGCAGTGGCTGGCTCTGCCGCTAGTGAACGGGGCCGCTGGCGAAGCGACGAATAAGAAGCCAAGCTCTTGCCGTCGTGAGGAATGTTTCTCCAGACGTTAGTTATGACCCTCGTACATGTCCGGGGCTACTGTGCTCGTGTAACGTGGGGAGAGGAAAAAACAGTCAGCGCGTCTGCCGATATTGCATCACCCAGGGGTCCGACTGGACTCTATGACGACAGAAGGAGCAGTGTCACTGTGCTCTCTGTCCTTGTTATCGCTGCCTACTCTACATGCGAACATGGCGCGGAGCTGAAATGCAGGGGCGCCAGAAGGCAATTAGGCAAACCTAGCCCGGCGCCAAACAAGGCTGTGAACCAGCTGGCAGCACTGCGAGCGGGCAGTGAACATGTAAAGACGCATGAGTCCGAGGACAACGAGAGCGGATTCATCCGTGCCATGTCTCCACAATGCGCAAGTAGTGATCCCCAGAGCGATGTAACAAGCCTTGGGGGCTTGGGGCACGCGTCCATATCAGAACGCCATCCAGGTGACTCGCTCAACACCCCTTTGCTTGGCCTGCCCGTCATGCGCACGGCAAGAAAGCGTCATCCTGCCCAGGTCGGTGTAGAAAACGCGCGACAGTGTTTTGTAATCGCTCCATGCTGGGCAGCAACGGTATGCGTGGATTTGCAGAGGGTTTGCGTCGGCTTGCGTTGAGGTGAGTCGAGTTGAGTTGGGTAGCATAGACGTGGGTGGGGCTGGGTGGCGTCCAATCAGCGCTGCCCAAGGCACAGCCGCGCCGTTGGCCAATGAGCGTGTCGAGCGGCCGCACAATGGACATCACAGCATGTCACCGTCAGCCACAGGACGGGGCGCAGCACTGTCGCCCAACAAGGCTCAGGCGTGACGCTGCTGGAAGGCTCGACGGTTCTGGTTCAGCCACGGCCCAGACCATTACTCCACACTCACCTTTCCACTCACCAGACCCGCCGCCATCCACGGCTATACAAAGCACACTCCACCTGGTTGCCCTTCGCAAACCCAAACATCCTCACCCCATACCAAGGCTCCACCGACTTCGGTCCCTCCTCTCTCCCTAGTCCTCCTCACCTTTCTCCTTCAGTCACCGCACGAATGCTAGAAGGCAGCATGACGTTCAAGTCGGTGTCGACATCGGGCTCAGAGTCTAGTAAGGCAAGCTCGCTGTTCGACCTGAACGAAAATGGCAAAAAATCCATCCTTGTATACAAGTATCGCTCTGGTGCAAAAGGCCTAGAGTTTAAGACAGAGGGCGAGCTCTGCGCCGAGCTTGATAATGGTGAGTGCTGCCTAGCCTCCATCCATCTGCCTGACATGGTGACTCTAACGCTAGCAAACCAGACCCCTCGTTACCATTTCTACGTGTTACAAGAAAGTCTATACCCCGCGGCAACAGTCGGCTCGACATCCTCAACGAAGATCTACTATCGCCCGCCGAGCGCGAAAAGTACGCAGCGAAACCCACCCTCAAGGCTTCCGTCGCCAACGTAGGCCTGCCTACGCTGGCAAGGTGGAAGCACATGATACTAGGCAGCTACGACGACCTATACATTGTCTCACGGTTACATACCCCTTCGCCCGAAGCAAGCAAAAACAATAGTCCAGAAACCAGCCAGCATGTTAGTCCTGCAGGCACGTTCCCTAATGAGGCGCTGCATGATCGGGATGCCTAGTGGTTGTGCGTGCCGCTCAGCTCACGCCCTCTTTTACAACTATACGTTTGGTCCGCTTACGATTTATCTTCGATACCCGCCGAGCATGGCTTTGGGACTTGGCGCTAGTTGGAGTTTATGGTATCCTCGCGATACATGGTTGAATATGTTGGTATCTTTAGTTTCTCTTTGGAAGGGTGCTAGAATTAGCCCTCTTAATGAAAATCCCATGAGCCACGGCTCTCCTCCTACGTATGACTGCGACCAAGCTTGCAAAAACAAAGTGATGACTGCATTAGCAAAGCTCATGTGAGACAGCAACAACAACAACAAGAAGCCAGACAAGGGTCGTCGTTGTGTCGAAGCCTGACACGGCATGGTCAGAAAGCAAACAGAGCCATTGTTTCGACAGTGGATCCTTGCATGCCCAAATAAGAACATGGTTTGAGAACATGGGATCGCAGCAAAAGAGCCGAGCGCAATGCCAGTCCAGTCCACAAGACGCAGGCATGATCTAGAGGCTCAAGGCGGCTGCTTTCGTGTACGATATAGTACGTAGTTTGCATCGAGATGTTCTGGTGATGCCATGTCCAGCGCCAGCAAACTTGGCAGTCTTTCCATTTCAGAATGCGCCCGCATCTGCAGGCAAATGACGTCTGTGAGAGGGCGCAACAGAAAGCTTTTTTTCTCATTTTTACCGCATGGAAGCAGACTGCCTGTTGTATTGATTTCACGTGGGAGCATCGGGCCTTCTCAATGGCTACATGCCACGGCAGACCCGTTTCTGTCTCCATCAGACGGCGCTAGGGGCCCGGAGCTCCACCAGGCAGGCACTGGTACGCGGGGAGCGTCACTCTTGGGTCGGAACTTTTGATGGGGCCCTGCATTGATGCATTGAAGCTTCGACTGCCCTTTTGCATCTCCAACACACCACCTTCACTTCTCTTGGCTAACTTTGCGGTGCCTGTTGATTGCCCGCTTCTCACACAACATGAGGTTTGTCCGCTATGCCTGTCCCCCAGCAATGCTCGCGCATGCCTTGTCCAATCGTCGCATCGCGTAAATGATGTCAACGGGAGCTAATGCGCGTTTGCAGGTTCGGCCAGCAACTCAAGCAATCGCTCAACAAGCAGTGGGTCTTCTACTACATCGACTATGAAGGCTTGAAGAACTCGCTGCGCGTTCATCACGTCTGGGACGAGAAGTCGGAGCAGAGCTTCGTCGAACAGCTTGAGAAAGAGCTCGACAAGGTCTACACGTTCCAGCGCGTCAAGGCCGAGGAAATCATTCGTCGCATCGCAGCATCGGAGAAGGAGGTCAACGATGCAGTCGCGCGCGCCCAGCAGGATCCTGGGAACCCCGACAAGTACGAAGAGGACTTTGACCTGCTTGAGGAAGACCTAAGCGATATCATCGCCGACGTCCACGACCTCGCCAAGTTTACGCAACTCAACTACACGGGCTTCCAGAAGATCATCAAGAAACATGACGTATGTACAGAATGCATATTGTATGGTCTGGTGCTAATTTGACTCAGAAAAACACCAGCTGGTTCCTCAAGCCCGTCTTCGCCGCCCGCCTCAAGCGTAAGCCTTTCTTCCAAGACAACTACGACTCATACGTCGTCAAGCTATCAAAGCTCTACGACATTGTCCGCACTCGAGGAAACCCGGTCAAGGGCGATTCTTCAGCAGGAGGAAAGCAGCAGAACTTTGTGCGACAGACGACCAAGTACTGGGTGCACCCAGACAATATCCTCGAACTGAAGCTCATCATCCTCAAGCACCTGCCTGTGCTCGTCTTCAACCCTAACAAGGAGTTCAACGAAGAGGATGCTGCCATTACGTCCATCTACTTTGACAATACAGAAACGTGGGAGCTGTATGAGGGTCGATTGAAGAAGACTGAGGGTGCGGAAGCCATCCGACTACGTTGGTATGGAGGTATGTCAAGCGACACCATCTTCATTGAACGCAAGACACACCGTGAAGACTGGACAGGAGAAGAGTCGGTCAAGGCACGATTCAAGCTCAAGGAGAAGAATGTCAACGCATACCTTCGTGGTGAGCTTAGGCCAGAGCAGATCTTTGAGAAGGAACGCAGAGAGCAAAAGAGACCTGAAAAGGATATCGCCTCCGACGAGCAGCTGGCACGAGAGATCCAGTACCGTGTGCTTACCCGCAAGCTTGAGCCCGTCACACGATCCTTCTACCACCGAACTGCCTTTCAACTCCCCGGAGACGCTCGTGTCCGTATCTCACTTGACACTGAGCTCACCATGACCCGTGAGGACAACCTGGATGGAAAGACGCGCTCTGGTGACAACTGGCGTCGTACCGACATTGGTGTGGACTGGCCTTTCAAGCAGCTGCCCAAAGAGGACAAGGAGCTCTTCCCCTATGCTGTCCTCGAAGTTAAGCTACAGACTCAGGCCGGAGGTGAGCCACCCCAATGGATCAGGGACCTTACTTCATCGCATCTGGTCGAGGCCGTACCCAAGTTCTCCAAGTACATTCACGGCACAGCCACGCTCAACCCCAAGCGCATCCACTTACTTCCATACTGGTACCCACAGATGGATGTTGATATCCGCAAGCCTGTCAGCCACAACTTCGGTATTGAACGGCCCGGTGCGAGCAACGACATCAGCACCAGCGGCAACCTGGATGATGACGACAGTGAAGACGAGGATCTGGCCGCTGGCCTTCCCTCTTCCAATGGCAACCAGGATGACGATCGGTTGAGGAGGCTGCGCGAAGCTAGAGACACCATGGAACAGAATGAGATGGCGAGAGCCCGTGATTACGGTACTCTGACCAACGGCAACGATCCCAATGTGCTTGATATCGAAGAGCGAGTTGCCGCTAGACGCACAACCGACAACGATTACCCGATTTACGATTCGGACAGCGATGATGAAGACGACGACTTTGAGGCTGCCAGGAGAGAGGGGGGTCTGCGCTATGCCCGAAAGTGGGTTGAGCGAACCGCCTCGAAGGTAGGCAGTGTAGTTCTCAACACGGTCGTGGCGATTATTCCAAAGCCAACACCAACCGATGTTGGGGATGGAGGCTTCACACTCGGCGTACCCAGCTGGAAACAACGGGGAGAGGTGAAGCGCTTCAAGGCTCCAAAGGGCAAGCGTAAGTTTTTGCAACGGATTCTGTTGGAGAGTATGACACTAACACCAACCAGGTATTCACGTTCCTGTG